GACGCCTTTTCGCCAGCTACCAAGTTCATCTACTTGACCAACTCGCTTAAAGGAAGTGCTGCGTTGATGATCCAAGGCTACGATCCATCTCAGCCGGATAATTATCGCCTAGCCATTGAAGCTCTTCGTAGGAGATACGATCGTCCTCAGTATACTCACCATCTATTCCATCATAAGTTGGAGCAGCTTCAACCGTCGTCGTCGTCAGCTACAAGTCAGCGAGATACCCTATGCCAGATTCAGTCGTTCATCCTCCAACTCAATCGATATGAGGATACATCTACGTCGTTAGCTCTCATGAAGTTGATTCGTAAGAAGTTTCCGAAGGAGACTCAACTAGAAGTGAACAAGTTGGAACATCGATCGAATAAGACATGGACCCTACCGGAACTTCTGGACGGATTAAACGAAGTCATTGAGGAATACGAGAAGTTGGACGACTACCTTCCAACTAAGTCTGCTTCGGAGTTTAACATCGCTCCTGTTTCCACTCCCCGCTCCAGGTCTCCAACACCGGAGCCACGTTACGATCCAAGGACGTGTTGCTTCTGTTACTCACCTAACCATCGTTCCACTCGCTGCCATCATTACATGCCTGTAGCAAGTCGTCGTATTATCGCTAACGTCTTTCGTCTTTGTTGGAAATGTCTTCGTCACGGACATACCAGCTCCTTCTGTGACTACCCTAATTGCCCCTCTTGCAGAGGCAATCACCATCATATGCTCTGCTCACGTTCAGCCCGACGACATTACCGATCATCCTCGCCAGGGAGTCGTTACCATTCCCATCGATCGCGCTCTGTCTCAAGAAGTTCGTCACGTAGCCACGAAAGAAGTCCATCTTATGATAGGAGATACTCACGATCACTGTCTCGTTCCAGTTCCTACTCGCCCAGACGATCCTATGATAGAAGTCCATCTCCGCGTCATAGAGGATCTTATAGGAGGGAACGTACACAACACCATACGGTTCGCTTCAGATCTCCAGTACGTGATACCATCCCTTCTCGCGAGAACAGTGCTGAAAGAGAACGACATCAGGGTCGAGATTCGCCGGTCTACGTTGCAGCCAACTCAGACGAAGAATACGACGATCTCATTCGACATCTCAAGGATCCGTCCGACACGCAAGTCTGCACCACTTTGGACCATTCCACCTCGTCCAGTCTCATGACAGTGGAAGCACTAGCTGTCGACCATCAGTCCAAGACTCCAACTCCAGTGATTCTTCTGTTGGACACAGGTGCACAGAGAAGCTTCATTTCGCAGGATGCAGTTGCCCGCCTCAACATCCAGGTTTCTCACATCACTCCGCTTACCACCGTCACATT